CATAACAGCAAAAATAGACACACGCACAACAACATTAAATTGAAATACCAATTAACACAGTGCATATCTATGCATTCTATTTAACAACAAATGCAATAGCAAACATTTTAAGTGAATACAGAAAGGAAAAAGTACACAGAGTGCACAAGTACACAATACAAAATAGGAAAAAAAGAACTGAAATGAAGGAAATTGATGACATGAGGCTTATTTAGGTAAATACCGAAGAACTCCATGTAAAGGATAACACATCCAACTCAAAGATCCCAGCTAACCTGAGGAAAAGTACACGTGAGGTTAAAATGGATCTGTAATACAAAAGGAGTTGTTTAAACAGAAATATATTTTTCAAGATATTACAGAAAGCAAACATGTTTAGTGTGTGGTCTGGAAGAAAGTGAAGTCATGTCCTCTGGTAGAATCAAGGTCTCAGTTCAGCCAAAGAGGAGCGGACAGCAGCTTCAGCTCTGGGACTATGGAGGTGCCAAACCACTATAAGGGTGGAGGGCACAGAAAATCCATACAGGATTTATGGAGTATAGAATTGAAAAAAAAAATTAATAAAAAGTTGCAGAAAGTGACTTATTGCACTTGCCTACCTTCGTGAGTCAGGTCTGCACACGAGGATGGAGGCTCCTGCATTACTACCAAAAGTAGTTAAGTGATCATTAAAATTCTCAAGCTAAGAATTTTAAGAACTTAATTTTTAATAACAAACATTTTGATTTTATTGTATGTTTTTATTTTCTCTGCATGTTAAAGTATCTAAATAAGAGTGGAATATAAAAAAAAAAAAAAAAAAAAAAAAAAAAAAAAAAACACACACAACACACCACCTTCATGATAATGTAAAGGGACACTAAAATTTCAAAAGGCGCTTCACAACACTGGTACATACTACTCCCAAACATTTGAACCACTTGATAAACGTTTTATCCAAAGTCCCTATGACTAACCATCCTGTAACTGTACTGAGATCGGGGTGCACATTGTCTGTCTGATTTGAGCTCAAGCCACAGCGGATCGACTCCTGCAGGTCACGGACTCCCTGTTCTGCTTCTCAGAAACACAAACAAAACTATCTATACTAAAGCATTCTACACACTGCACGATTTTAATAATCCTGTAAGACCATTGCGGATCACACTGCATGACATGAATCTAATAAACTTGGGTACGACATGCATGTAGACTGTACGATGATGACACCCATTGACTCGTACGCTATGACATGTTACTATATAAGAATAAAACGTCATCAGCATGTGCCAGTGGTAAACAAAAAGAGCATGATGAACCACACTTTAACAGTTGTAGTTTGTGTATGCTTAATGTGGAAGTGGTGAAAGAGGAAGGAATAAAAGCTTGAGGTAAGCAGTTATGTTGAAGTTTTATTGGCTGGTCAGTAAATGTGGATCGTTGCAGCAAACACACTGCGTGATGATCATGCGGAATTTGACACTGTCATAAAATAATCGTAGGCTATCTTTGGTCACAAGACCGTGACAACAGCCATCTTTGAGTCAGTCTTATTGTACGACACAGGCACAACTTAACCACTAGATTTAAATCAGCACAGCCAGCGAAGGATCAAACGCAACCGTTTCGAACAAGCGCACCTTTAACAACCAAAAAGTGGCTGTTTCGTGGTCTTAAAGTACCAACGTTCCTCTCGCTGATAGCAGAGGAGCGGATCCAGCAAGAGCTTGATGGGGCGACGCAGAATGAAACATTTTTCCAGGAGTCACGACAGTAGAGGCAGCTCAACTAATGACAGGCGAATAATCCCGCCCACTCCAAAGCGATACTAAACTGCAGTGGAAACGCAAACAGAGCAGAGCCGTACCACACAGTGGAAAAGCACCATTAGATTGTGTGGAGGACTCATCTGGTTCCTGTGGTCTAGATCAACTCTAAATCACAAACCTACAGAAAGCTGAATAAAATAGTGCTTTAGTGCTGACTGCTAGTCTCCAGTCTCCATGTTTGGGACGCCCATCTATCTGATATCTGAGCTCAGTAGCAATGGATTTGTACCTGTAGGTGCCAGACTTTACCACTACCTAGCATTGACTGCAATAAAGGGTCATTCTCCACCACAAAGCTTTCTGGGGAACATGGTTTGACCCAGTAAAGAGAGCAATATACACGGTGTTGTGAATATTAAGAATCACAGGACGACTCACCTCAGCAGCGGTTGATTTTCCAGGAGAATCCACTTTTAACATAGTCAGGAACGCACTGAAATAAAAACAATTAAAAGCTGCATTTGTAACTGATATTTTTAGACGTGTAACGGGAACACTTTGAGCTGCTTGTGGAAATCAGAACCATCTGTGAGCTGAAGTGAGCCAATTATAATGAAATTAAATCAAAAGACTGTGGAATTCTGTAGCATTGTCAGTCAACAACGAGTGGGCTTCCATCAAGTAGTGGAGATGAAGAAAAAAAGAAAAGGAAAAAAACCCCCGAAACATGTGAGCTCTTTAGAATGTCCAGATTACCTGTAGGAAGACACTACAGATAAAACATTGAGTTAACATTGGTAGTTGCTTTAGACTGAAACAATAGAACCATTTATCAAACCAGTTTCTCTACGGATCCTAATTTTAATGGAACTGATTTTGGTTGAGAGGAAAGTGTTGAATGTTAGGCTTGGAAAGAATGCATTAATTCAAAACTCAAACGGTCACAAAATGTAAATTGACATTAACAAGCAGTTATCAATGCAGCCATGAATGAACCCTGAAACTCTTTAGTGTGCACATTGCTAGACAAATCTCTAACTTCTCCTGTCACTAAGTTTAGGGCGTCCCATCTATCTGATATCTGAGCTTAAAGAGGGATTGTAAGCTGTTGACCAAGTAAAGGTCACCAATTTACACAATGCTGTAAATATTGTAAAAAGAGGTTTAGTCAAATCTTTGGAGGACTCTTACCTTGCCAGTTGTTGGAAAGAGCTCCTTTGGCACAGTCATTTTTTAATACCAGACTTCTGGGACTTTTTTTTTTTTAAAAGGACAATTTCTGCTGTAACAATTTGCATCAAAACATTTTTACTCATCCATTCCAGTTTGTACAATCAGCATGACATTGTTTTTGTTAAACCCTTGATAGTCAACATCCTCAGTGCTTTACTCAGACTAAAAATCACATGCACAGCAATGCTTTACAACAACCGTGTTTGGTCTGCATCCACAATTTAAACCATTATGATTCAGCACTGCTCAGAACCAAATTAATATACAAATAAACCTACTCAAGATTTATGTGGGTGAATTTCTGAATGTTACTCACCCATTTCCAACAACAACAAAGCATTTGAAATTGCAATTAACTATTAATCAAAGCTCACAGATTGTTTCTGAACAAAATAAGAAAGAAGTTCCTTCAGAACGTGCCAGCATTGAGTCTTACCTGAAAAGGAAAAAAAGAAAAAAACTAAAGAGACACATTAATGGAAATATACATTCACAATACACACTGAATACTCGCCCTTGAGGCGGTTTCTCTTGATGCAGCTCTTAACATCCAGGTCACACACACACATTTAAACTGTACATGCAGACAAAAACTCACCTGCAGCTTTCTAGACACCCTCAGACCTTGATTAGCTGGTTCAGGTGTGTTTGATTAGGGTTGGATCTGAACTCTGCAGGACTGTGGCTCTCCAGGACTAAATTTTGGCCACCCCTGGATTAGATGTTTCAGTACCGTTAAAATCATAACTATACAAGCAAGGTAAATAATTACAAGAATAAAGTACAAGTTAAAAAAAACAACATTAAAAATATTCTCATTCACAATGATTTCAATCTCCAGCAGGTTACTCATTCTCCAACCTCCATCTTACATTGATCCTGTGAAATTTCAGTTTGTGAGCATTTATACTCATGGACACAACCATTGACGGGGATGCAAGCGACAAGGAATTACATTCATCAAACCAAATCTCAAGATTATAAACTTTGCACATGCATTAATCCACAAATTATTACTTAACAGCCATTTATGCATAGTTCCACTAATTAAATTTGAAAACAACAAAAATCCACTTAATCCTCTAGTTTGGTTTCTCCCACATCTCATAATGCACCACAGCACAGATATAAATGCCCATGTAGTGATAGGCAAATGAAGCCTCATGAAGCACTGAGGCTTTCCTCTGACTGTTTCAGGAAAAGATTCAATGGTGGTTAATAAAAAATATAGCATCCAAAAGCCTGTGAAAGACGCGCCGTAGGACGAAGCAGCGACCACAAAAATCCCTAACTCTGCGCGTGCGTGCATGTGTGTGTGCATGCGTGTGTGTTTGTTGAATTTTTTCTCTCTGATAAAATAATTTAAACTGTGGCATTAAATGCCAATATGAATATCAATATGATGTAATAGAAGAATAATGTGTACATATATTAATTGCATATGCCAAACATTAAATTTTTTCTAAAATAATTTTTATTCTTAATATTACTTGTATGACTGGGTATTTCAAATGTTATTGAATTAGTCTGAATGAAAACTTACTCATAAAAGTAAGATCTGGGGGTTCGTACACTCTGACACGCGCACGTGATTGGACAGAAAGTGAGGCTTTGTTTTTCTTTGATCACGTGATTCTCTGAAAACAATACACGCTCCAGCACAGAACTTCATGAGAAATTGCACTGCTTACTCAATACGCACATAAATATACAGGCACGGCAAATTCATTTAAAAAATAAAGTACAATGGAAAAATGATTTTTTTTTAAAAACTCTCATTACTTCCACAATGCCCTTAACGCACACACCTTTCCTCACTTCCTTTCCTTGTGTCTTAGCTCCACCCCTTCAGGATGCGAGGGAAGGATGCAAAGATGGAGTTGAATCAAGTGAAATTATATATCCTTGCTCCCTTTAGTGCCACTTCAAAGCGTTATCAGCTGCGCTAAAGGGATCTGCCCTTATGTTGTTAAAGTTTGTTATTTAAGACATTCATAATAAATATTAATAAAGCAAGATACCCTGTTTGAGTTAGATGACATGTATGGCTTATTTAAACTGCAAAGGTAAAATATAAATTAATATTATTACAACAGATGTGCAGGGGGAGGAGAATTTATACGTGCGTCAGGTTTTTCGATGAAAATCACTTCCGCAAAGGATACACCTGTGGAGAGGATACTCACTCCTCGATCCTCGCCTCCTCACGGTGCAATTAGAGAATTGAGATGTCCTTCAAGATGGCTGAGCTCAATCAGTTTCCGGGTCATGGGATGAAGGAACAAGGAAACGAGGAGGGATATTGAGAAGCACCCTAAATCTGGAGCGGTATTTGAGGCTTAGTGTATCACATCATGCATCCTGTTCTGGAAATAAATCGTGAGACTTTTTGCCGAGATCTTGCAAGAGGTCATGGAAACCTTTCCAATGTATATTAAATATTAATAATAATTCAGTATTACATATAATTTGGTAGTAAAACAAAGAGTTGCACTTTTTATTGGTGCAAATGAGAAGTGGTTATATTTATTTTGTTTAACATTTGCAACTGCTTTTTATCACTTAATTAGAAGCACCACAAAATTAAATTGTCATCTGTTATAGGGATTACTGAAAAGACATTTAGAAGCTGATTTTAAAATATTGAAATATTGAGTATTGAAAATAAAAATAAAGCTCTGTAAACACTTGAATTTTACAACACTATAATTCTGTCCTATCAGGTAATGAAAAGTTCTACACACAATTGTGGTCTTCCTGCTCACTTGAACACTTCGACCAAATACAGGAAATACGTCATATAAGTATTCAAGTGCTCAAGTGCAAAGACCGCAGCTGTGTCCCAATGTGAAGGGTGTGCATTTTGAAGGCCAATAATTGAAGCAAGCCAGAGGCGACAGCGGCAAGGAACCAAAACTCCATCGGTGACAGAATGGAGAAAAAACAAGTATAATTCGCTATTTGCCATTTTTTGCCAAGTTTTGTAAAGTGTATGTAAACCGGTGCAAACTGGTGCATAAAGTTTTGCTGTTGTTTTTGTTTGAGTGAGAAAATAATTTATGTAATTTGAAAGATGCAGTTATGGAATGCACTTTGTGCCAAAGCAATTATAAATGATCCACAGTTTAGCCCACATCGACTGCTGTTGTGCTCACAGTGTGAAGAGTTTAGAAAAATGTACCCAAATACTGAGAAATGTG